CAGTGGAAGGTGTCAAAGCAGTTTGGAGAGAAAAACAAAGTAAAGAACAAACAAAACAAAACAAAACAAAAAGATTAATCGATTATTAACTTAGTCATCGATTATTTTAATAATTGATTAGTCGTCAATTAATCGATTAATCGTTGCAGCCCTAATTGCAGTTATAAATATATACAATAAATTGGGTTTACCAGTTCAGTTAAAGCTATAAATGGAGTTGTGTTTTGTCTACGCTTCAAAAAGCTCAAACAACCAGCCTTTAGATTTTGAAATAAAAACAAAATCTTGCATAGGGTTGGGCAAAATTGGCAAAAAAATTAATCACGATTAATTGTGGTATTTAGCCGATAACGATTAATTTGACGATTAATCCCCTGGAGTTCCTGGACACCCTCATGTCCTGGTCACATGACCAATTAAGTGGGAAAGATTTGCTCTTCATACAAACCTGTTCCAAATTGTGTCAAATTACAGACTTCAGGCTATATATCAAATTTTAAAATTTGTTGATAGATAAATACAGTAAATTACACCACTTTAAAAAAAATTTTCATCATATTTGAAGTGGAGAGGAGCACCGAGTGGACTGAAATCTCCAGTCAGTCTGCCTGGTGGCATAAATCATTAATCGTCAAGTGCCAAAAAATAATCCATTAATGTTTTTCTGACGATTAATTGCTCACGATACGATTATGCCCAACCCTAATCTTGCATAATCTCAAAAGTGTTGCTTTTGGAAGGCCATGGCTGACTTGGTTCCATTAGTTTCTTGTGTGTTCTTAGTGCAGTAGAAAAAATTAAGACACTTTCTAGATGGTCCCACTTTTGCATAAAAACCTCATATTACTTTTCTGCATTCACAATTTCATTAATTTTGACAAATCCCCAAACAGCACTGACTGAACTGCAGCCTCTAACCATGAAAGACCCTCCACTGTGTTCAAGGATGGCATCTCTTTTACCTCTATAAATCAGTTTAAATAAAACTTCAAAATCAATATTCATCACAACTAAATGACATTTTTAAACTTCTGTTTCAGAACACTCGTATGAGCACGTGGACATGCATATACTGTATGTTGATCATCATAAAAACACACAGGGTCATTGACAGAAGATGGCATTGTGCAGCCAGAGTTTTCTAGTGAGAGATTATTAAATTTCCTCCAGGGTTCCCACCAGGGCAATCATGCTTGCTCACAGCAGAGCAGAGCAGGAAAACTGACAGAGCTCATGTTGTTAGTCAACCATCTTCAGAAAACTGCCTCCTCCATGACTGAAGGGACCGTGGGTGTCAGTTACTTGGCTCCTACTTCATCTGGGTCAAATCAAGTTCAACAACAGATGCTTCTCACAGACTCTGAGACGGCATGTTTTGACTTGACAGTGGGGAATTGACATGATTTAACAATTGCATGGACTTTCATGTGCTGACTGAATGCTATGACTACACATTTATCATACAGTAACCAGAGGACGAAACGTGAGCATCAAACAAAAAACAAAACCGTGCTTTCTTAATCTTTACATATTTTGAAGGGAATAAATAAGATATTTGAGAGCGGTGATCCCACAGAGGACTCCTAAGAGACTTCACTGCAAGTGTTGATGCAGAAGAAATAATTCTGATGAAATATGATATCAGTTTACGTGAAAATCTGGTTTTTGACATGAGAAAGTGCTTACTATGCAGGACAAAAAATTAAAAAAAAATCTCACAGGATTAAATATGCTATGTACAACAATGGCCTTGTACATATTCATCAGCTTTTCAGCAGTGGTAATTTAATATGCCAACTATGAACAGCTGGAAGCAAACTTGATTCCAGTGACTGTATGTTACTCATCTGACATTTAAGCTTACATCAGTCGCAAGCTAGCCAAAACATGGGCAAAACTATGTCCTTAAGAATATGTAGCTGCTTTATGAGCTAAAGACATGGTGGTACATGAAAAAGCAAAAACAAAACTAAATAATGCTGTTTATACTGAATCATGTCAACATTAAAGAGTAACTTACCCCAAAATTAACTTGTTTTTAGCTGATAAACTGTCTAGAATATGTCTAAAATGTTATATAGTACTGTTTCTGTGCTAATTTTGATGTTTTTTTTTTTGCGTATTTGTTCAAATCTGTAATATTTGGTCTAAAAACGTCTTTTTGCTGCTCATATGGGTAAAGCAGTGGTTCTGCAGGCTAATTTGCATATTGGTTAATGGCTCTCCACAGTTTCGTCACAGCGGCTGTGTTCTGGTATAAAAGCCTCTCTCTAAGACACGCCCCTGCAGCAGTCAGAGGGTGGAACAGTTAGCAAGCTTAGCATGATCGTCTGTTGACCTTCAGCCTCGGGTGGGGAGAGGAGCTGACTGCTCTGTCTCTCCACACGCGCACACACAGACAGACAGACAGACAGACAGACAGACAGACAGACAGACAGAGAGAGAGAGAGAGAGAGAGAGACCAGCCCTCCTGCACAGCAGGAGGGGAGGAGGGGAAAGTAAGGCAGCAACTTGTACAGATTGTAAGTTATAAAGATTTGACATCATTTTGCAGGTATACTGACATTTAGAGCAATCTCATGGATTTTTTCAAGTCTTACGGATATTTTAAAAACCTCAATTTCAAATTTATCTAACATGTCAGAGCCTATAGGATGATTTAAAAAATAAATAACATCAAACAGCCATCTTCCAACCTGTTCTGCCGTTAGAAATAAGTTATTTTCCTCTCCTTTCCTCCTGCTCCGCAGCTGCCTTTTTTTCCCTGTTAATTGCAGTTCAGTTTTTTTAGTATGTCAACAAAAAAAAAGCCAAGGCCTTAAATACCATGCACTGATTTTGATACCAACAAAATTTACTGAAAACAGGTAATTACAGCAAACACCTTGTTCTCTACCTTTTTACACTCTCAAGGGAGTAACAATCAGAGTTGTAAAGTAACTAAGTACAAATACTTTGTTACTGTACTTACGTAGAAATTTTGGTTATCTGTACTTTACTTGAGTAATTACTTTTCAGCGTACTTTTTACTTTTACTCATTACATTTTTACACAATTATCTGTACTTTCTCTAAATTTTTTAATAAGGTAAGAAGTAGAAAGTCGTTACTCCTATTTTATTCTGAGTTATTACTTAAAAAATATTATCCTGATAAATTGTGTCTCCTGGATAGAGTGAATTTAATTGTGTTTGGATGAGAAGTATAAATATATACCATTCTGACATACTATTAGCTTGTACACAACCCATCACAGCTGCACGCTGTTAGAAAAAATATTTTTTGGAGAAGTCACCTCCCAATAAATGCCATTTAGGAAAATCTAACTGCTCACTTTTACTCAGTACTTTTACTTTTAATGCTTAAGTAGATTTTGTGTCAGAAATTTACTTTTGATACTCAAGTACAAAAAATATCAGATACATTAAGACTTTTACTCAAGTAATAATTTTAGAGAAGACTTTAACTTTTACCAAAGTATTTTTTATGATAAGATACTTGTACTTTTACTCAAGTATCACTTTGAGGTACTTTATACAACACTGGTAACAACAGAGTAGGAAAGAGAGGTAACATGATACAGATGATAATCTGTGTCTAGTATTGAACTCTGTATATGAAACAGCATTTCTCTATGACCTAAAACCAGTGCCAACATTCCAACCATATAAGCACCTCACTGGAAGACAGTCTCCATACGCTGCTGATCAGGTAGCACATTCTGTCTGTCAGCTGCTGCTCAAAAAGAAGAGACTGAGCCAGTGCCTACACATTTATCTGAGTCTATGCTGAGCAGTGACATGTAGCAGATGATGGATCTGTAACATGAGGAAGACAGAAGATCAAGTATAACCTTTTTGGTCTTTTTTCCCCTCTTAAATCCCTGAATTTAATACCTGTTGGCTTTGTGGATCCCACAGCTAAAAACGTTCAGTAGCAGAAGTTTCTCAGTGTAAAACAAGGTCACTTGTTCACATCTGAACACATCTTTTGTATGGAATGATAAACCTGCACAGGTATTGCTGAATGAGTGCTTGGTATTGTGCTTTTTGCAGACAAAAACACACAATAAAAAAATACCACTATTAGGTAACTCTTCTGATACCTAATGAATAGTGTGTAATGCAGGGCTATTCAACTGGCGGCCCACGGGCCACGTCCGACCCGCGAGTGACCAAAGTTCGGCCTGCTAATTGGTTCATTCATCTCTTAAGCCCAAACTCCCGGTTTTCTACTTTAATTACTTTAAGTTATTTTACTTAAACATAGACATGTTTGGTATCTACAGAAATGTCAGAATCTTGGCTACAAGCTGGTAAAAACCATTTCTATAAACACTCAAGACAGTTAAAACTACAAGCAGTTGAAGATAAAAGGATGAAACTGAAAATAAAATTGTTTAAAAATTTGGCAAGTCAGAGACGTCAAAATATTTGTGTCAAATAGGAGGCATGATGTGTTCTTTTTGTTTTGATAATGTGTAATTATCACTACTTTTATAGGGTTGTTTATATTGTATTCAAGATTAAATGCAGCAAAATAAACTAATTCAAAAGGTAACATATCTTTGTAATACTTAGTTTATTTACATAATAACTAATTGCTGGATGTTCGGCCCCTCAGCTCTTGACCTGCAGTAACTGTGGCCCCCGGAGCAGTTTAGTTGAATAGCCCTGGTGTAATGAATATGAACAGCAAAACATAGATGAAATGACTGATAAGTCTTTTGTTTATCACAGGCTACATTATCAACTGAGTACTGAGCCGTTCCGACACCATTACAATAGGCTGTATGAGAAAACCTCATTTGCAGCAGGTGCACAGCACGACATGACAAAACTCTGCAGGATGCTGCTTTGAAGTTGCTTACCATGACTGCATTTGCATTTGATTTAAAGCTTGTTTTTAATCCTCAAAATAAATTTAATGCAGTTTATTAGACAGTAGCATTACTGACATGCTGTGGTATGCATCACCTTACATAATTTACAGAAAACTTACCTCCATAGCCAGTGCAGCTGTTTGCTGGTCATAGTGATTCAGGAGATTGGGCATAAAGGTGGTGTTGTAAGGCAGATCCTGGCACATTCTCAGTCTGATGGGCTCACAGCTGAACTCACTGTGGCTTTCTGTATATTCTATGTGAATGGAAAGAGCAGGGCTAACCAGGAAGAAGAACAAGTGCAGGATAAAGAAAAAGCAAACAGGACTGTATTGTCTGCAGACAATGGTTTTGCTTTTTGAATGCCTGTCTTTGGCACATTCTTCTCCAACAGGTGTTTGCATTTTAACGACCCACATATTTCCACCGTCTTATGACACTACCATCATCGCCACAGTTACTTGATGGCCAATGCTATATGCAAGTAAAGGGAGAAAGCCAGACCGTCTAAACCGCAAACTGGATGTCCAAATTCATACGCCACTTCCAGAGTTCTTTGTATGAATCCTCAAAATTTCCAGTCCACACATTTTTTTTTCTTATACGGTTTGAGAATGTGCCTTTAAAGACACTTTAACAACCAACATGTGGTTTCTCCCTAGCTTTGGATGCTCCGATGGTCAAAAGCAGCTTCCCCTCGGTCCATCTCTAAACCAAGTCAAAAACCAGTCCACCAGCCACCTACAGGTCCTCTGAGGGTTACAGTCCATCCTCCCCTTTCATCACTTCTTCATCTCTTCTCTCTGTGTTTCCAGCAATGTTTGAAAGACTCGCTGAGCCCACATTGCACCATGATAACCAGAACGGGTTTGCAGACTCCCCCCTGCAAGACACAAAATCCATGTTAAATTGTCACACTGGATCAGACCCACCAAACAGGCTCTACAAGTTCAAATAGACAGGCTCGATGAGGGCAGAGGGGATTTAGTTGAAGTTTACAGTCTGATCAGCCGCACCCTTCTTTACACAAGGAAATGAACGGATCAAGTAACATCATAGGTGTATATATATATTAGGGGTGTACGAAAATATCGATACATTGAAATATCACGAAATTTCATTTCCCGATACTGTATCGATATTCTAAAGCCCTGTATCGATTTTTTATTAAGGTTTAAAATGTCAGCTTTCCTGCCAGCCGTTCATTTTTATGTTGTAGTTCAGCCTCTGACCACTAGTTGGCAGCAGTGAGCCGGCTGGCTCACTGCTGCCAACTAGTGGTCAGAGGCTGAACTACAACATAAAAATGAACAGCTAGTTGGGAGCAGTGAGCCAGCCATTTGGCTACTCTACCTCTAAGTGTTCGGTAAAGAAAGAAATATGAAACAAATAAAATAAAATACATACAAAGCAGAACACAGCTAAATGTATCAAAAGTATTTCTATGTAATATTAGAATTTYCTGAGACAATGAATTTTGGTTTTTCTTTTTTTTCCCTTGTAAGAGGTTTTTATTTAACAGAGTTTTTGGACAAAAAAAATCGCAATATATCGCCTTGCTTATAGTATCGCAATATATCGTATCGTGACCCCTCTGTCATGATATGTATCGTATCGCCAAATTCTTACCAATACACAGCCCTTATATATATATATATATATAGAATTGATGCAAAGCAGATTTTTTGACACAATGCATTCTTTACACAAACTGCCCTCGCTTGTGGCGGTGTGTGGGGTTGTCTTGGCTGAAGTCAGGTGGGTCGTGTTGCAGACTACAGACAGCCGCCGCAGCTACCGCGGGTTCGGATGTGAACGCTACACCTGCGCGGACGTTCAGACGGACGCCGCCGCCGCCGCCGCCGCCCCCCTCCCCACATCACACACACGTTTGTGCGAGGTTTCACTCCTCCGTTGTTGTTGTCAACACACCCACCGATACGACTTGTTCCGTGCGGCCGCTGCAAACTTTAGAAATTAAACAGCGCGGGTCAAAGAAAAAACCCGTTGTTGCGCTCGCGCTACGCTGACAGCTAGCTAAGCTACCCGCGTGTTGAATTGATTGCTAATTTAAGTGAACACCTGCGTATAACATCGATAATGTTTGCTAAATATCGTTACTGGGGAGCGGGGGGCAAAGCGGACTAGTTTCTGGAATCCCAGACTATATTTCTCACTGAACAGTGACTGTCGTTGAGACGGCTGACTCTCAGGAATGACCGACCATCAATCCGTTTGTCACCGCAGTGTCTTTAACAAGCCGCCGCGGCAGCAGCAGCGAGGCGTACGCGCGGGTATTTCTATCTGCCGAGCCCATAACAGAACACGCACCGCTTTTTATCTAACGCTATTATAGTAAATGATTTACCTTTTCTGTGTGAGGAGCCCCGAGCGGTTCGGGCGGTCCTCGGCGCTGCGGTTCCTGCAGATCTGCTCTCGTTGAATCCACACATCGGGAACGCGCAACCACCGTGGACGCGCAGAGGGGATGGATGCACGTGGGCGTGTTACACTTATATACTAAACAAAAACACTGTTTTATGTGGAATACCTGTCAGCATTTATACTTACAAATAACCTGAAATATCTCTTGTAGCTTTATGAGTCATCCATTAAAAAATAAATAAATAAAACAATGAAAAAGCTGTTTCATAATATATTTTAAACGAATATTACGTTTTAAAATCACGATTTAGAATTTGTTTCTTGCTGCAGCATGATTGTTGTGTTTGTGTCGATATTTATTCCTTGCACCCTCAGGATTAGTACTCATTGTGGGTGATACCAGATTAACTGTTTGATGGCTGATCTGATCTGATCCTATGTTGTTGGGGGGTCCATGACTGTGACAGCTGAGGCTACTGGCCCACACCACTGGTTTAACCTTTTAATATGACCCCACTTAACACTGATCAACCGTACTCAACACTCACAAAAACACTCAATCAATACACCGTTTAGCTCCGAATTAAAAGTTTAAAACAAATAGTAACGGACTGAAACACCTGCTATCAGAGAAAAAATAAAAACAATAAGGAAATTCAGCACTCCAGTTTAATCCTACTGTCTGTTTTCTAAAGCACATTTCAACACATTTAATATTTTTTATCAAAGTTCCCAACATTGCAGTTATAAAAAAAACTGTTTCCATTCTATAATATACAACAATTTAATGCAGTAAGCTGAATTATAAATCAACCTTTATATCAATTTAATATGAGCTGCATCTTCGAGAAATGTTGGCAAGCATTTCTGATGATAGTCTGATTCTAATAAAATATTTTATACTGATAGGTATTAAAATAAACGGACAAAGAAGGAATTATAACAAACATCATGACTCTAAAACTGAATTTTTAAAATCTAATGAAATGGTGAGTGGAATGCACCTCAATCAGCATGCTGTTTAAAACATGGATAAACAATAAAATAAAATAAAAATTAATAAAAAAAACCTTTAGATTTTGCACAAAATTTGCAAAGGTTAAAATACAACTAAAAATATTATCTTTAGCAACTAAAATTTCTTCATAATGGAAAAAACATGCCAAGAATAACACCTTTAGTACTCCTAAACTCAAACCGTGTAGGAGCCTTACCAATAAGAGCGACATGTTTCTGTGGTGTCCACACATGTATAAGCACGTCTAATATTCGTTATATTGGCACAAACGGTTCAGTGGTTTGAAATAAACAGACTGAAAGCAGCTGATGAGGTCTGCTAAACTTCAGGGTCTGAGTGTTGTCCCATCAGGCGGCGGGTGTGGGAGGAGCGCTCGGCCTCTTCCTCCAGCTGAGAGAGAGAACGAAGGAAAATAAGACTCGACTCGTCACCTGAGTCCAAACTGTTCTGGTTTGTGTTTGTATCAGGTCGGGTATGCACACACGGTAGCTCTCAGGTAAATTGATTAATCAGGTTTTTTTTTTTTAAATCAGGTAAGCACAAGAAATCAAAACAAAACACTATTAAAAGAAGAAATTTAATTTGCTGTTTAAAAACAAGACTAATAGGTAACTGTTTCTTTTAACTTTCTGAAACTCTTTTGTGAATAAAACCCTAACCTGACAGGTAAACTAAAAAAAAAAACCAACATGTGTGTTTATCATTCATATATAAAATTACCTAAATGTTGGTAAATAAAATGCTCAGCAAAAGTCCTTGAGAATCAATTATAGAAGACAAAATGTTCAGTTAAAGTTAGACATTATAGATGAATGTGAACAAATGTTTAATCAACATAATACTTTCTTAAACTGCTTGCTAAAAACACTTTTTGGGACATTTACACATTTTAAAATGCCTATTTTAGTTATTTCACTAAATATTAACCTTTTGTTCAAGTGTAAAATAAATGCCAAAGGAGGCTATAATATATATTATTTCAAATAAAAGTAGAGAATCGCTTAATGCTGAAAAGATGTTTGAAGAAAAAAAGGAAATGTGTACAAAAAGTTTGCAATTTCTTGTAAAATAGCAAAAAATAATAAATAAATAAAATGAAACAAGAAAGTAGTTAACGAAGTTTAATCTACAACAAAGAATCTGAAAGAGCATGTTTTCTGAATTAAGCAGCTGAAAAAAGTAGCTAAAGTTATCAGAAAAAGGCAACTTTAACTGAAAAAGGCTAATATTAGCTGAAAATAGCTAAAAAGAAGCTTAAACTGCAGAAAATAGCTGAAAGAAGCATACAATGCTTAAATTAGCAGAAAGAAACTAATAGAAGCACAAAAATTATATAAGTTGAATAATTGAAAGGAGCAGAAAGATAGCTAAAAAACTAGAATTCACAAAGAAGAAGCTGAAGGGAGCTAAAATTAGCGAAGAAGTTAAAAAGTAGAACTTAAACAAGGATGAAAAGTGTAGTAAAGATGTATAAACATTTTGCAGGATTTTAAGAATGTTGAAGAAAGCTCCATTTATTTTCAATTAGAATAAAAATGGCCAAAACAGCTGAATATCTCAAGTATAAATTGCTGAAAGACCAAAATTCATGGCTGAAATGTCCTGGAGGAGCTGATTTTTTGATATATGAATTGTTAAAATAGCACAAAAATTATGGAACGAGATACGTGCCAAAAAATGTACATAAAAAAAAGTTATAATGTGAAGTCTGGATAAACAATGTGCTCAGCGCTGGTATGCTGATAAGCATTCACACAATAATAATAGATTGAATGTAAAAGAACAAATATTATCAGGACATATTTAACAAGTTTTAAGCAACTATCTATAACATCCCCTGTAATTAGTTTAAAATGAAAACGACGCCCTTTTGACAGCTCTTCAGTAAAGGTGACACTACTATGATGGATACTAATGAAATGGCTGAAAATATTTGGAATTTTTCCAAACCTTGCCTTTCAGCAAAAACAGATCAAAATAAGACATTTGAGGTGGGGAGCCCCTGGCTGACTGCATTTGATCCTAATGATGAGTCTATGTAAGAAGGTCTGAGTCAGATTCGGACTCAAACACACCACAGTGTTACCCCTCAAGCACATCCGCCTGCCTCACACAAAGAAACACACCTGCTCTTTGATGTAGCTATCCCCACAGGGCGCCAGGCCTCTGAGGCTCAGTCCAACGATGAAGCACCACAGGGAGAGCCCGACCTCAGCTGCCGACAACACGGCGCAAGGGATCCACAGAGCCAGGGTGGTATCCTGACAGGGATGAAGAGGCGGAAACAAAATGGACGACAAGGTTAGACCAATTCTTCTGTCATACTACAACATAAATAACAATCAAACTTATGAGCAAAATATTGACCCTTCAAGAATAAATGACCCTTAAGACTCACATAGATCCGTGTGGTATCAAACGGACACTGGGCACTGACAGGTGACCGAGCGTTAATGGGCACCATGGTCTCGTTGCATCCAAACATCAAACCTTTTCCATTGCTGGCGACGGTGACACCAAGGGCCAAAAGGAGGCCGACGCAGCACGCTACCGACAGCAAGGCATTCAGGAATGATGCAACCAGAAGCCCTATTTGCTGAGGACACACAGAGACAACATCACGTACAGTGCCATATTCATGACGAGTCTCAGCATCTGGACACAAACTGAACTCTTACCAGTTTGAGATCATGAAGGTTTCTTGACACCACAATGGCAATAATCCCAGAGGCAATACTCTGTAAGATTGAAATGATAAATTGAGCATCTCATCTCCAGCAAAGTAAGCTTTATTTGAGAAATAATCCTAGCCTCAGGTTGTGAAACTGCATCTTTAATTTGGAAACCTGGCGAAGAAGATTCAAACAATTCTGTGATGAAGTAAGAAGCCACCAATGAAAAGGGCATGTAGTCAGATTTATTCTGTAACTCTTCTGTGTGTTTTTATTTGCACAACCCTCATATTCCTTTCAGAGGTCATTTCAGTCAAAAGTAAACGTTAACACTTTTATTACTGACAAGTGTCAGATTATCTGATAAATGAGTGTAATGAGGCCTGCCCCAAAGGGACACCTGATTGGTTTGAAGAACCAGCTCCTCCATGAAAGGCACGTTCAGGCTTGACTGCAGAAAAACATTCTCATCAGATTTACTGAGCTACAGGATCATATCAGCTCATGCAAAGGAAACAAAGATCAGGTGAAGGCATACTGTACATGTTGTTAGGCCTAAACGTTTGCTGAACTGTGAATTTTAATATAAAATAATAAATATATAAAATATGTGCCAAACATGCGATAAATGTTTAAAATTATTATTGTGTTTTTATTTGTTCAAAACTAGATAGAATCCAAGTGTTGGTTTGTTTGTATTTTCTTCAGGCAGAATCTGCTTTATGCTGCAAAACACAAGTGTTTATAAAACATATGTTTTGCATTGTAATAGTAAAGGAAAACACCCTAAAAGCAGATATAGTTGGTAATAAGTGGGATTTCATTCATATCACAGACATTAAAACACTGCAGCTGCAGGATGAGTTGGACAAGTTGTCTTCAGTTGTTTGTTCTAAACACATAAATTTTAAAACAAAAAATGTGCAGATTTCTGTACTGAGCAGCTTTAAAGGGATCCATGATTAGTTGTAACA